ACTACACATAATTTACCCAGTCAAGGGCATTTTCACCTGCTGATCAATTTACATATTCTCCAATGTCATTAGATATGAGCTAGTCATCAGAAGAATAGAAGACAGTATAAATTATAGACTTTTCTCATTTAACTCCAGTCATTTTTATACTAATTACAATTTAAATTATATTTAGGATTTGTTTTGCTTCTAGACTAGAAAGCTTTTAATTAATATCACAGCTGTCGGTATAATATCAGAAATCTATCTAGTTACTTGACACTACACTACCATGAAATCGACACCTTCTAGAATTCTTCTGCCCTGCTATGCAGTGGCAGCTTTTTAGATTTAAATGTTTACCTCACTGTAAGAAGAGTAATTTAGCAACACAGAAATTATTGGTTTTTATATAGAGAGCCAGATCTTGATTCCAGTGGGGCTATGCCAGTTTGCACCAGCTGAAGATCTGGCCCTAAATCTCAATATGGGTAATTACATTCAGCCTTCCTAAAATTCCTCCTGGAATTTCAAAGGGTTGAAGTATCCTTTTCCTGTTCTAAAGCTCTATGTAGTGTTTTGTACAATGACCTATTTCGTTCCAGAGGTGGCTGCATTTCATTGGTTGGCAGAGTGATTCTTGCAGTGAGAGCAGACTTAATTGGCTTGAATTCCTGCAGAGTCAGCAAGATTTTCTAGGGCAGAGCTAATACATCCTAAAGGAGATTCCTGCAGTGTTCTGCAGAAATCCCGTTGCAGTGAAACACCACTGTTAGCTTGCATTCAATGGGACAAATTTTGCCCCCTGCCTGGCCCCCACAATGAAATGCACAGGAGCTGAAAATGAATCTGAGGGCAGTACACCTCTACCCCGATATAACGCTGTCCTTGGGAGCCAAAAAATCTTACCGCATTATAGGTGAAACCGCGTTATATCGAACTTGCTTTGATCCACCAGAGTGCACAGCCCCGCCCCCCCAGAGCACTGCTTTACTGCATTATATCCGAATTCATGTTATATTGGGTCGCGTTATATCGGGGTAGAGGTGTATTTGGTTCCCTACATACATAGATCACTAGACTGTGGCTAGCCCCAGGCAAGTGTGCATGGGATGACTACAGTCTCAATCACTGTGTTCCAGTCATGCAAGTACTAGAGGTATCTAGTGGCATCAGATCCACCAAAGGTAACAGGAAGAGGCATTAAAGTCAAAACTGTTACTTCCGATTTACACGTTTATAAATGAAAGCAGAGGCTGGCCTCTGGTCACAATACTCAGTATTGATTCCAAAACCATATTGGCCACAACTTTGAAAGTCAAAGTGAGGTAAATGAATGCTCAGCAAGCCTGACTCTCCTCTCGTTTGCAATGATGTAAATCAGGAGTAACTCTATTCATTTAGACCCTAAACTCTTTGGATAGCGACTGCCCTATGTGTTTGTAAAGTGCCTAGCACAATGGCCCCTGGCCTCTCCGTGTTACTGCAATGCAAACAACACATAACAACAACGTTAGAGCACACTGGTGTAAGGAACAGAAGCATCGGACTCCGAACCTTGGTTTAAAGCATCCAGGATTTTTTTCTAGTTTGTAACACAATTTTCTAATGAATTCTCTTTTTATATGACTAGCAATTTACAGGCTAATTTAAATCCATAAATATTAGTCGCATATGAATAAAGAAAAATATTTTCTTGGGTTTTGTTTTTTCATTTTATTTGCTCTTCCACAGATATCACATTGTCTTTAAATAGGAAGAGATATTTTGGAACAGAAGGAGGCCTATCTATCTCCGTCTATCTGTCTAGCTCTGGTAACCTGTAATCAATGCAAATGTACCATGTTACTTTTACAGTTTGGCTTTAGTTTGAAGGCAACGGTTTTTTTAAACAAAACTTCTCAGCCATGCGGGTTAGACAAGCAAAATCAACAGGAGACTGGTCTATCATTAACCTTTAGTTATGGTATCATGAGCAGTTCTCCAGGCACTTCCACAAGATGACATAAGTGGCTAAGTGTTTCAGGAAATCTGAAACACTGAAATTTTGTCTCAGAAGACTCAGGGGTCTGAATGGACACATGACCTTTTCCCCTCACTTGGCTGGTAAGTTCTGACCGTAAACTTAGTTAAACTCCATTTTTATTTATTAGCATCTATTAGGAATCCCAAACCTCTAGGTCTACAAAAGCACTAATCAAGATCAGCCTAAAAAAAAAAAGAATTTTAAAATCAGAGAGCTCACAGCTTGTATCTCTGCTACATACAAAACCTTGTGACAAACAAAATGCAAGAGTTATTGAAACTTTCTTAGGGATGAAACTCAGTTAAATTGCTTAGTTTCCTTACTTTTCTTAAATACCTGGGGTGAAATGCACTCAAGGGAGAGTGACATAACAGGCTGGAGCCAGGCGTATTACCAGCTGGCTCTGAGAAAGTTTCCCTCACAACTTTGCAAATACACCTCAGCAATATGCTAGTCCTGGTTCTCTCTTGAGCAGACATTGCCAATAGTTACAAAGTGTTTGATAAGCAGCCTTAGCAGTAAAATGTTTGGTTATGATGGAGTTACTCTGGATTCACACCGATGTATCTGAGCAGAATAGGCCAGGTTTAGTCAGCCCTATTAGCGTAAGGCCAGATTCTGGCACTTTGTTCACACTGAGTTTAGTTCCATTGATTTTAATAGGCCGATTCGTGGAATAAGGTGCTACTCAACACCAGCAAGAGTGGCTCCTAGGGAGTATGTATCTGGTCCAAAGTCCATTAAAGTAAATGGAGATACTCACATTGACTTCAACAAGCTTTAGTGCTGGGCCTGAGAAATGTAACCTCAGTCCATGCCAATGCAGATCACTACCAGTAGGTCACAAGGGTCTAACTATGCAGCCACTGAAGATAGTGAGAGATTTGCCATCAACTTTGATGGGAACAGGATCAGATTCCCATAAGATATTCTTGCATTTTGTGAGTACCGGTATATGTGCTGCTCATGCATTTAAAACAGGCACCCGAATGACTGACCCTTGGAAAATTTACATTATACTTCTTTCTACATTATTTTTCTGAAAATAACTGCTTTCCCATCCAGCAGTTAATTCCTTCCAATATTAACAAACATAATTCAAATATATAAATAACACAGATGCAGAAATATGTTTAAAAACACAAAAAATATTTTAAATAATTTTTCAACCTTATTTTTCCCTCCCTATCTATTCTTTACATAACAACCCCTGGGAAGCTTGAAACCAATGGTTTTTTCCCTTCCTTGGATGTATTACTCCATGGGATACACAATTTCACATTTATTATGGTCAGATTCCACACTACTGCTAGCTTCCCACATTGATTTAGAATTATAGAATCATAGGATTAGAAGGGACCGCAAATTATAGAGGAACATTGGAAACACATGGAGAACTACATTGACATCATCAAAAGATAATACATACATAAAAAGGGCAAACTCCTCTGGATTAAGTATTCTTATTGGTTTCAGTGGGATGGTGAAGAACATGGGAAATTGAGCTGGGCAGAAAATGTTTTTCCTACCGGCAAATATTTTCAAGACTTCAGAATTTTTTCTCCATCTTGAACCGGGGTGAGAAGTCAAAATTTCAAAAAATATTTGTGAACCCAAAAAACCTGAATAAACTTTTTTCCTCTATGTTATTTTGAGTGAGGAAATTCATGTAACTGACTCTGTTTCGTGAACAGTTTTGGCAAATGTGTACTTTTTGATAAAAAAATGATGAGTTGAAAAATTCCCAACCAGCTCCAGTGAGAAATGCCAGTATTATTTTACTAATATTATATGGCCATCTGTTTGTTTGATTGTTATTGTGGTGTTTGCTATATGTTTATTAGGGATTAATTCAGGTATGGGTTAGTTTGTAGGTAGGCAGGAAAGCAGGCAAACATTGGTGATAGCCCTCCATTCACAGAGGTTTAAAAGGACAGTACAGGTGTCGATCCCTTTGCAATGTTATCCTGAGAGCAGCATTGTAGCCAGTGACCCCAGGATGGAGGGTCCTGACGCATGAAATGGAAACAAAGGACTTTGGAGTGGATTAAAACCCATGCCCTGAAGCACAAAGAGGGAGAGATACAGGGACCACTCTTGTGCAGGCTGACCTTCCCTCCACTCCACAAAATTCCCCAAGATCAGGTTTCTGGGATAAGCTAGGCATACATAAATTTTATTCATGAGTGTAGACTGTTCGTTATGTTAAAAACCCTATTTCTTCTTATGTTTTGTTCCTGCTCTTAAGATTAAACAATACTTTGTTTGCAAGAGGCTATTTTGAGCCCTGTGTTAACCACTGCTCACAGCTCCTGAAGGGTAGATTTGCAGGGCTTGAATCCAGTTGGGACCACTGGGCAATCGTGTTTGGTACACAGGGTGGTTGCAGCCTTGCACCTGACCTGTGAGTGGGAAAATCACGGGATTCTGCCGCAGGATGGGAATGCAAGAGGCTGATCACCTGAAGGGGCTGCACTCGTTGAGACTGAGAGCGGTCAATAGTGCAGCTAGCCCTGAACTGTGACTGGGATTACCTGGGATTGGTCTACACTTAAAAGTGTGGAAAAAACCACACCTCCTCGAAACATACCGACAAAATCCCCAGTGTAAATGCAGCTATGCTGACAGAAGAGTGCTTCAATCAGCATAGCCAACATCGTTTGGGGAGGGGGTGTTCCTAGATCAGCAGAAAAATTCCTTCCACTAGTGTACACAGCATCTATACTAAGGGTCAATGCCACCGTAGTTAGGCTGACATAGGCTCTGTAGTGTAGACATAGCTTTGGAAGAGGAGAAATGAGGGTATGTAGAACTGGCCCCAACAGAGGTCATATTTTGGGCCTAGCAAACCTTGACAGCGTCTCTTTAATTTTGTACTCACTAGTATAGTGTTATTTAAATATAATATTGTGAACTCTGTATAGCTTACTGAACAAAGATGAGACACCAGAACTATAATTAGAAGATGATATAGGAGCAAAAGGATTAAACTCACCCGTAATATTTCTTCCACACAGCTGGAGTCATTGGGAAGGCTAACCTAGGTTTTTAAAAAAAAAAAGTCAGTCAGTCACAGAATGCAAAGTTTATTGGTTAAAAGCAACCAGGGAAGTAAATAGATCTATTAAACCACAGCTAACAAGAAAATGCCCCATTATTTGAAATACGCTTCATCCAGTGATCATTACCAACAGAATTTGCCAATTGAAATTAACCTAAATCAGTAGAAAGATGCATCTCTACCGTCTCTTAAAGATATTTTTGTAAGTGTTTTGCTACAAACAGTTGTTTAGAAAGAATCTAGTACCCTGATTTCCCCACAGTTAAAAATGGGCACTAAAATTGCTGGAAACTTTTATAAATGATGAAGATATCAACCGCTACTCCAATATTCAGATTTCAGTGAGAACGCAGGGTATATTTTAACTTACAACATGCCACAATTTAGGGCAAAGGTGATAACAGTTAAGAGTAAACTGTTATCATCAAGCATCTTATTGTACAGCTTCATACACTAACAGCCCAGACAAATTTTAAACCCTAAACACGTACTATAGAAAAAAAACTGGTTAGATTCTAATACTAGTTGCTGATTCCTCAGTCTCTGACTTCCTGGGCCTGTTACAGGTTAAATATCCTCTAAAGACTGAAAAGCACACAGGAATCCATCTTGAGAGTTTTGAGAGATCTTCCGTGCCTCTTAAAAATATGCATTACATCTACACACAGGCACACACAGACAAATAGATGCTCGTAAAATCTTGCAATTTAGCAAGCTAGTTCTTTAAACATTACTGATGCTATTTGCTGTAATTCCCCATTCTAAATGTAGAAAACAGCACAAATACCCTAAATACTGCAAATAAATATATGAGCAATAACTGTCAGGATTTTAAGAGCACTTGGTGTGTGTGTGTATGTACATTTGTCAACAGTTAAGTTGTATGCATATACAATAGGTTTTTATTATGGCTATCTTGTATGGGTACACTAGATTCGGGGGAACGTGCACAATGAACCCAGTCCCCACGCACGCTGCAGCCACAATGTGAGGGGATATTTTCAAAGGTGCCCTTGGAGCCTTTGAAAAAAAATCTCATCCTTGGTTACTAGAGCTTGGTTAGGGGAAGCCAATCCATGGCCATGCCTCTTTCCCTCCATCCCCACCCACATCAGCACATGCTGTAGAGCTTTGGTTGGGACAGCCACTAAGTGTGTGTTCCTCCTCATTCTCGAATCTTGATGCAGGCATGAAGTTTAAATGAATAGAAGTATAGAAATTAGAAACAGAAATGACCTATTAGGTCATCTAGTATGTCTTCTGCAGGATTCTTTCCCTATAGTCGCTTCTAGTGCTTTAGCGAGTCTAGTTCGAAAAGTCTCAGGCAAGGAGGCTTCCACATTTCCTTTGAAAGACTATTCGACACCTTATTGATCTCACTGTCAGGACATTTCCCCTGACAAACAGGCTATATTTTCCCATTTTTCATTTCATCCTATCATTTCTATGGATAACTTCCTCCATCACTCTAAATAATTCATATCCCTCCATAGTATTTACATCATTCATATACATCTGTACACCGTTATGCTCCATCTTACTCCTCATGTATATTATATATTTGACTCTTATAATCTTGCCTAATAGGTCATTCCCTCCACCCTCTCTCATCGTTTTGTTGCTCTTTTCTGAACTCCCTCTGATTTGTCAATATCTAGGTAATGAAGTGCCCAGAAGTGAACATGACAAACGTGGCTCCTACTATTAACTTTACCCACCTCAACAGCCACTATTGTCGGATCTACACGTCAGAACATTTGGGTTAAGAAAAATATCCCCTTCTTCTTACATTCTACCTAACTAAAGTCTAGCTCACAATCCCGGGGGGCGGGGGGGGGAACCTTTACTCCACCGAAGCCAATGGAAATTTTGCCATTGACTTCAGGGAGCCTGGATTTCCACACCAGGTGTCTTTGAAAGCTTCACCTGAATATTGTATAACTTCTGTTTCACACACCTCTGCCCTAACCCCTCTCCTTTCACTTCTTCCATGCTTTTTCCTCTTGACACCTTCTAACTTCTTCGCTCACCTTCACTTTTTGCCTTCTTTTCTATACCATGAACAGCTTTCCAGCTAACAAATCCCGGGACCTCTCCCTATTCAAATTCACCTCCCCAGTTAAACCTTCCAGTTTCAATGACCACCCACCACTAACTTTTGAATTCCAGTGCGCAGCAATTTCCCATTTGCGTCCTTGGGACTGTTAGTCTTTTGGGGCAAAGTGCCTCTTCCTTATTTGACATAGTTCTCCTAATGCACAGCACTATGTAAGCTTACATTGCTTAAGAAATAATAATACAAATACACAATTTTAGTTTAGTAAAAATCTATTATATTATTCTGTAATCACAACCTCCTTCTGCTGGCAACACTCACTAATAGCTCTAAATGATCATACATCAGTTTTGTTTTAATGACTTGACAGAACTTTTGTTCCCTTTGGCATTGCTTTGTTTAGAATCATGGGTATTAAGGTAACACATGATGTCAAAGTGCTGTGATTGTCATACAGGGAGAGCCAAGCAGGAACAGGCACAAAGTGGCAAACATTTAGATTAATGCAAAACATTAAAAGAATAATTATTACAACAGGGATATCATAGAGAAGATCAATGTAAGACTTTCTGTACATTATTATTAATGGATTTTTAAAAGAAGGAGGCCATTTTTTCTAAATTCATGTGGTTGCCCCACATTCTAAGGCTCTGTCTACACTACCACTTATGTCAGTATAAATTATGTTGCTCAGGGGTGTGAATAAGCCACCCCCCTGACCGACATAAGTTACACCGACCAAAGCAACAGGGTGGACAGCATTATGTTGGTGGGAGAGCTTCTCCTGCTGCTCGTTGGGGGTGGATTAACTAAGTTGATGAAAGAGCTGTCTTCCATCAGGTGAGAGTGGCTACACTAGAGAGTTTACAGCAGTGTAGCTGCTTCAGTGCATAGCTTCAGTGACTTGAAAAGCACAGATCTGTCAGATACTGAGTCTATCCTGAAAAAAACTTTCCAACTGTGAATCAGAAATTGAAGATTAATTGTCCATTCAGCTAACACAGAGGTGGGCCAACTATGGCCCACGGGACCCTCCTGCCCGGCTCCTGAGCTCCTGGCCTGGGAGGCTAGCCCCCGGCCCCTCCCCCGCTGTTCCCCCTCTCCCGCAGCCTCAGTTCATTCTGCTGCCGACGTAATGCTCTGGGCGGCAGGGCTGCGAGCTCTTGGGGCAGTGCAGCTGCAGAGCCGCGGCCTGACCTGGTCTCTGTGCTGCGCGGTGGCATGGCTGGTTCCAGCCGGGCGGCGCAGCTGCCTGTCCTGGTGCTCTGGGAGGCGCGGCTGTAGCGCGGCCAGCCACCGGTGCTCCAGGCAGCGCGGTAAGGGGGCAGGGAGCAGGGGGGGTTGGATAGAGGGCTGGGGAGTTCGGGGTGGTGGTCAGGAGGCGGGGGTGTGGATAGGGGCAGGGCGGTCAGAGGGCGGGGAACGGGGGGTTGAATGGGGGCAGGGGTCCCCAGGGGGCAGTCAGGAAGGAGAAGAGGGATTGGATGGGGTGGCGGGGGGGCAGTCAGGGGCCGGGGTTCTGGGGGCAGTCAGGGGACAGGGAGAAGGGGTGGTTGGATGGGGCAGGGGTCACTGGGGGGCAGTCAGGAATGAGAGGAGGGGTTGGATGGGGCGGGGGTTCCGGGGGCTGTCAGGGGACAGGGGGGGTTGGATGGGGCAGGAGTCCCGGGGGGGGGCGCCAGGGGGCGAGAAGCAGGAGGGGTCAGATGGGGGCGGGGCCGGGCCACACTTAGCTGTTTGGAGAGGCAGAGTCTCCGCTAACCGGCCCTCCATACAATTTTGGAAACCCGATGTGGGCCTCTGGCCAAAAAGTTTGCCCACCCCTGAGCTGACCAGTGCAAGTGGCATTGCACAGCACACTACAGGATCCGTGCAGATATCCATCAGGCCAGAGACAAATATGGCTAATACAGTATTTGTAGCCTACATAAATATTAGTGCTGTAGGGAATTATTATTAGAATTTACATGAAAATTTCATTGACACTGGACATCCCATATAAAATACCACTATTCTCCTAATCTATAGAAAATCAAGTGGTCTGAGTGCTACAAGGTGATTTTTTTTTAAAGCTTTCATCAGTAGTCACATTTTAAAAAGAAACACTTTGAGGTTAGATTTGTACATACTTTTTGGACCTGTCTACCTCAGCGAACAACATGATCTAACTTAACAGGATGGATCGATTCTAGGAATTATGTTTTGTTAAAACCAAGTGCTTGCTGGTCACGTCATGAGCTCTTTTCTCATTCTGCAGTGTATTCATGAACTTCTGATTGAAGAACAGTTAATATTACATAAGCTGCAGACATAAGTCCTGAGGATACTGTAACTTCAATCAAATCGAAAAGATTTCACAAGTTACATGGTGCACTGAATTCCTCTTCCAATTTCATTTTAATCCGGTGAAACGCCTTTGCATCAAAAGATTTTGTGTTTATTTTAAAATATTGCTTCCAGGGGGGAAAAGGAGGTCATATGGTCAAAATATTCAACCTAAAAAAGCAGTATCACAAGTGAAAAAGCATAACTTAAATGATGTGGAACCTAAGGGTTTAACGTATGACTTGGTTGGCCCCATGTTAAACTCTGGGAAGGAGGCATGAGGAATATTAGAATGTAGGGGAAATAGTTTTAATGTTATGCAAATCAAATGACAGTGAGTGACCTGTTATAATAGCTGATGATTAATGTTGATACAACCTTCCATTTATTCATTCAGCAATTCCTTGGCCACCCTCTTGTCTTGAACTATTTATAACTTGCATGAGCTCAGATTTTGTTTATGCTACATAGGAAAATTGTGTAAAATGCCTTTCCCATGTAATTTACATCAGATTGGTGTTTATCAATATGAAAGTTTCAAAGGAGAAGACACTTTTTTGAAATGCCATATTGGGAAAGGAGTGGAATTGGCATTAAG